CCCCGGGCGCGCTGACCCTGCCCCAGGCGAGACGTCTCGGACAGCCCCCAGCGCGCCCCCCCAGGCCTACCCCGGGACTGCCCGCTGTGCTGGTCGTCGGGGCCGAGGAAACCCACCGGGCCGGGGCTCCCTGGTGGCGCGACCGGCGAAGCGCAGCGCCGAAGCCGTCACCACCCGCTGCAGCGAGTCCGAACCCGGCCCGGGAGTAACCTCAGGGCCTCAGGGCGCAGCAGACACCTCCTGCTCCCCGTTACCCCCCAGCAGCGTGTCACCTGCCTGCCTGTGCTGCGCCCCACTGTCTCGGATGACTCTTCTCAGCACCACCTCTGGCCTGCACCCCGGTTCTTGTATGTAAAAATAAATAAACACACCTTTTCTTAAAAAAAAAAAAGGAAATCCACTTGGGGGTGCCCCAGGATGAACAAGATGCTCGGGTTGATGGGGAGCGCAGAGGAGAAATGGGGCGAAGGTGTGGAGCAGAGGGCAGGAAAGACCCCGGGGGAGGTGACTTTTGCCTGGAAACTGGAATCACAGACCAAGCAGGCCCCGCCTCGTAAGAGCTCGCAGGGAGCGGGGGACAATCACCCCCTGGCAGGACCCCACCCAGAGCCTCCTGACAGCCTGGGAGTGGGCAGGGAAGACGGCGGCAGAGGGCGCTAGGGGCGCGCACTGGAACCTGGCTGCTTCTGGCTTCCCGGACACTGCAGCCAGAGCCTTCCCCTAGTGGGCTTCAGGCTGGAGGGGGGACTTCAGGGTGGGGGGGTGGGCTTCAGCCTCGGGGATCACTGAGGGGGGAGGGGGGGCGCAGGGGATGAATCCCTCCAGTGGCACTTGCAGTCCAAGGCAAGCCTGGGCTGCTTGATCCTACTGTCCATCCCCATGGGGGTCCCCTCCCAGGAGGTTCCCCCCAGCAGCCGCTCCTGGGTCCACTGTGAGGTGGGGGTGATGCCACCAGGGGGCTGTTCCTGGGAAACAGTATTGGGGTGCCAGGAGCATGGGGGAGGCTATTGCTGTGAGGACATTCAGGGGGCAGAGGCCAGAGTTGATGTTCATGTCCCCACGCTAGTTTTCCTCTCCTGCCATCTGCCGGTGCCCTTCCTTTCCCGGTATTGATTACCCCAGGCCTCAGTGCAGGACGGTAGTGGCTTCCTCGCTGAAAACCACACGCGGTGGCTCCAGCTTCACAAAGGGTGGACGACAACACTGCTGGATGCAGTTTCTGGTCTTTGGTGGGGCGCACGTGTGGGGGGTTGAAGTCTCGACCCCGCTGCCCCTCCTGGAACCGTTGGCATGTGGCTCCCGGGGACCCCGGACAGCTGGCCGTCCTCTCCCTACAGCCAGCTCCCCTCTGGGGCCCTCGGGGACTCAATGGTGTGGCAGGTGCCTGAAGGCCACACCCACAGTGGGACACAATGCACCTCCTCCTGCCCCAAGGAGCGAGGAGCCTGGCACCCCACTGCCCGCCTTCCAGGGAAGCAGCTCTGTTCCAGCCACACGCACCAGCCCGAGACTGCCCAGTCCTCCAGCAAACAGGGGCTCTCCCTCCGAATCCCATCCGGAACCCCAGTCCTCCACCCACCCGGGCCATGCAGGTCAGACGGGTAACTAAGCACAAGATGAAAAAAGGCAGAAAGACCAGGGGCGGAGGAGAGCCTGTGCCGGCTGCTGCCAGGTGCGGAGTTTGGGACAGGAGCCCCTGCCCCTCGGAGAGGGCAGGTGTCAGGCAAGGGGCCCAGAGGCTTCTACACAAGCAGCAGCAGTTCCAGAGGCCACTCAGGCAAGGGCTGGGGGTCCCCCGCGTGGGCCTGGGTCTCCCCTGTGCCTGAATATCCTCAGGGTGAAGGCTGGGCACTGGAAGGTGCCCGGCCTGAGGGTGTGTGTCGGGGGCGGGCTTAGTGGTGTGGCAGACACTGGTTCACAGAGAACTAGAGCCAGAGCAGCCAGTCTCTCTCCAGGGGGCTCGCTGGGCTGGAGGCGGGCGGCCTGCACAGCCCCACTGCGCCCAGGCCTGCTGCCTGCTGCCCCGGCCTGGCTTTAAAGGGCTCCGGCTCAGCTGGTGCTTGCGCCCTGCCGTGCTGGACGCTGGGCTGTCACCTCTGTGCCGGGGGACGGCTGAAGCCCACAGGTAGGGCCCCTTCCCTGCAGAGCTGGGCTCCAGCCTTTCAGCAGGTGAGAGCCCTGACCCCCGTACACACCAGCACTGCAGCACTGGTCTCTGGGAAATGTGGTCCCCCCCAGCAATGCCGGGGTGGGGGGCCTGGCGAGAGGTCTGGCCCTGCCACCTGATGCCCACAGGGAAGGCGGCTGCAGACGACGCCAAGCCCAGGTGGAGTCTGCCTGCTGACCTGGGGCCGGGTCCTGGGGCCGCTGGAAGACCAAGGTGGCCGGGCTGCCGGGCAGGAGGTGCTGACCTGCGCAAGGGTGGTGCCGATTTTATTCATTTTATTCAACAGGTAACACAAAGGCCGCCAGAAGGGGGGCAGTGGCGTCGGGAGGACCCCTACTCCTGTGGGTGCACGCACCCCGGCACTCGTGAGCCCGGCCTGAGGGTGCGTCTGGACGCAGCTCGCAGGATCCATTGAGTCCCGCCCCCATGCTGCCTCCCGACTTCAAACAGCACACTGGGTCGGGAGAACGCTGGGCATCCTCCCTGTGCCGAGAGGTCCTCCAGGGGGCAAACTGCTGGAAGCTTCCACCCAGCTGGCCAGGAATGTAACAAGGTTGGGGAAGCTTGTCCCCAACAATCCTGGGTGGCCGCTCCCTGAGCTGCCCGTGGGGGCTCAAGAGGAGCCAGGCTGTGGGGGCCCAGCGGAGAGCACCGGCTTTCCTAGGACCCGACAGGCCAGAGGGAGCCCCGGGGGCTCAGGTATGCTCTGCGGGGCCGGGGCCGCCGGCGTGGGGGTGGGCAGGGGCCGCGGCCTGCAGGGGACCCACACTGGGCTCCGGGGACACCAGCAGAGGGGCCGAGAGGCCATCGGCTGAGTCTGAGTCGAGGTCCAGCCTCCAATAAGCTTCGCACAGAGGCAGGTCATTAGCTTCGCAAAGACTTGAGCTTTTCCACCACCAGAAACCCAGAGAGACAGGAGCAGGCAGGGATGGAAGCCAGGGGAGGAAAAGCGAGACAGAAGGCGAGTTAAGGACACAGCAGCACCCAGGCCTGCCTCTCCCCTCCTCCCTCCGCTCTCAGGGCTGGCCTGGCCTGGCCTTGGGGTCCAGCGGAGCTCGCTCGCCCCCTGGACCAGCCACAGCAGGCTGCGGGGTCTCGCGGTGCCGTCCCACGGCATGCGCCCGGCGCTGCGGGCGTCAGGAACACGGTGCCACCCACAGAGGCTGCGCCTGGCCAGGCCCTCCCGGCAGACCTTGGTGACTCCCCGGCCTGCCCACGGGGGCTCAGGCCGAGGGGGGCACCGGTGAGGCACGGAGGCCCTGCAGGTGTCCCGTCCGGCACCACCAGGCCCTGTAGCACTGGGGCGAGCCCCAGCGGCCCCTCAGCACGGGTCCATTACTGCCGTGGGGCTGACAGCAGCGGCCCGGGGCTGCCGGAGGACTTGGCAGTGCCAGGGGTGCCTCGAACACAGCCTGCCCCCCTCCTGGTCTGACTTCTCCTGAGCCCTACTCTCAGCGCGTCTCGGGAACATCCTGGCCCAGAGGCGACCCAGGAAAGCGGAGGGCGTGAGGCAGAGCAGAGCAAGAGCAGCAGAGCGGGCGGCCGGGGGCTCGTAGCGCCCACTGAGCGGGCGGGGGAGGGGGCACAAGGGGCCTGAGCACCACCCGGCTCTCCAGAGCCCGTTCGCGGCCGAAGGGGCAGCCCAGGGGCCTCTGCGCGCACCAGAGATGTCAGCGAAATGGGCCGCCTGCAGCTCGCTGGGCCTCAGCTCTGCCGTGGAGGCGTGCGGCCTCGGAGCCGAGCCTGGGGAACCGGAGGGCCCCGCTGAGCAGACGGGCCAGGCCCCGCGAGCCCGAGACCACCAGGGTCTCGCCGGTGAGTCCGGCATCCCAGGGAGCGGACGCAGCCCTGAACCCTCTGGACAAGTCTGCACTCCTCCGCAGGATGGGGACGTTCTGTCCCTCCCCACAGCGATGGGCCGGACCCACGGGGCGGCCCTGAGGCCAGGCTGGCTCCCGCCTCTGTGGGCCGGAGGCGTGGTGAAGCCCACCCCAGGCCTGCCCACATGAGGGCTGGGGCGCGACTCGGCGGCAGAGCTGCCAGGGAAGGAGCGGCAGGGTCTCCCGGTGCAGCCTCAGCTCCGCCGTCAGTCCCAAGCGGACTGTCCCTGAAGCCCGGCTGGGGCGTCAGAGCTCAGCCAGCGGGAGCCTGGCGCGGTGGGGGAGGGGCCGTCCCGGATCTGGCCTGGTTCTGCTCTTGTCCCCGCCCACACCCGTGAGGTTCCGGAGACACCCACACGGAACGCACCGGCGTCCGGCCTGGGCGGGTCGGCATGTTCCAAGGCTGACAGGGAAGCTGGCGAGCAGCTGGGCCCGAAGGCCCTGCGCAGGCTGGCTCAGAGGCCTGGCCCAGCCCCGCCAGGCTCCCACCCCAGGTCTGTTTTCGGCACGCTGCCCGGGCCTGGTAGCTGGTGGAGACTGTCAGTTGATGGGCGCTCTGACCACAGCTCAGCTCTGGAACCTGGGCTCCGAGACCACGAAGGCCTGGAGAAGCAGCTGGGCCTTCGGGCTGCGGGCGGGGCCCGCGGGCAGCCCGCGCAGGCCGCGGCTATTTGTACCTGGACGAGTAATACTCCTCCTCCAGCTCGTACAGGTCGATGGAGACCTCGTCCCGCAGGGCCACCAGCTTGCGGTCACACTCGTCCTGCAGCGCGCGCAGCTGCTGGTTGCGCTGGTCGATGGCCTCGTTCACCGACGGGAAGTCGTTGAGGATGAGGAACTGCTTGAGGTCGGACACCAGCTTCATCAGGGACTCGCCGGCTCGGACCTGTGGCCACCAGAATGGGGCAGGGGCGTGAGTGGGGCGCCGCGGGGCCAGCCCAGCCCTGGTTTCCTCGTCGGCGAGGTGGGGCTCCGGCACAGCTGCGTTCCAGGCCAGCTGCCCCGACACCCAGGGCCGCCGCAGGGCCTTGGGCCCCGCTCCCCGCCGGCCCTGGCTTCCGTCCCTGGGCTGGACCCCTCTCCAGCTGCCCGTGTGCCCCTCCTGCGGGGTGCGACTCACGATGTTGGCGGCTCGCACGTGCATCTCGTAATTGTCCTGCTCACCCTGGGTGGCCCTGGACACCTGCGTCTCCTCTTCAATCTGGAGGACAAATGACAGCGCAGGTGAGCGGGGCACAGGCCACAAGGGCAGCTGGCAGCTCTCCCCGTCACCCGGCAGCCCCCGTGCCGACACGGCTAGACTCGCCGGACGTTCGGCCCACCCTCTTGTCCTGTGTTAAGGAGAGAACTGGCCCCTGCACGGAAGCGGTGGACACCGCCCCGCGTGGGCTGCCACGCGGTACAGGGGCCTCAGCCAAGCCCTTTGGGGTGCGAAGCCCTGTTCTCATGGCCCGCTGCTCCTAGCGAGGGCACTTAGGACACGACCGAACGGAGGAAGACTGGCCACGTAAGGACACCTGCTGCTCGGGCTTGGACACCTGGGCGCCCCCCAGCTCACAAGTGGCCCACCCGGGGCCTCAAAGGTACAGCTGGAGCCTGCAGCCATCCGCCCCAAGGTGCAGATGCTTCTGACCCAGCTGGACCGGGCTTCCTGGGGACCCAGGGGCCAGGGCACCTAAGTGCTTACGAGCCAGACGTCCTGGGTGTGAACCTGCCTCCGGAGCGGCTCTCAGCATGACTGGCCGCTGGCTCTCCCAGGCCTCACTTGCCCCTTTCCCACGCGGCTTGTATCGCCGGCTGAACCTCGGGAACGGCCCGCTGGGGCCTGCAGGCCTGACCACTCTGGCTGCCCGCGGGGGCCTCCCAGCTTCCATCCCCGCCCACCCTCCCTCCTGCAGTGGCCACGCAGGTCCCAGCTCTTCACACAGGTAGACACACCTGTGGTCACAGGGACCCACGCTCTGGGGGAGACGAAGGCAGCATTCCGTCGGGCCCCACTCCCGAAGCCACGCTGCCAGTGCGCCGCGCTGGACACTGAACCCAGCACCTCTCCCCCCAGATGCCAGAGCGGGGCCTGGTCTGTGCTCTCCCTGCGCCCCCACCACTGGTACCGGGGTTCGGGGCTGCTGCTGAAGCTGGGTCCCTAACGCCCCGAGGTCTCGAACCCCCTGGACACAAGTGGGCCGGTCTCGGGCTCACCGCTGTCCACCACCTCTAGCCCCTGCCCCTTGCGCGCGGGCTCGACCTTGGCGGTCTTGATGATCTCGGTGAAGTTGTCCATGACGGACTTGATGTCGTCCTTGAGCCGCTTGTTGTAGGACTGCAGCAGCGTCTCCTTGCTCTGCGGCAGGGCTCTCTGCTGCGCCATGGCGGGGCCTCAGGCGGAGGGTCCCGAGGCACCTGGGGCGCAAGCCCGAGTGAGCGGATCCGGCCGCCCACCTCCCGGCCCGCCTCCCGC